GGTACTATCAATATTTCATAGAAAAAGTAACATTTACTGAAAGTGGATGTTACAAGTAAAAGGAAAAATCACTGCACCAGGCCAGAAAGCTCTTGCAAACGAGGAAACGACGGAAGAGAGATCGCGTACACAAAAGTTATTCCCGTTTCTTCTAGGAGGTTCTGGAAGAACCCGGATTCGATCAAATAGGCAGATAGGCACAATATGTACCGATATTTTTATGTCATTATGGACCTTCTGAATTATTTGAAATGAACTTGCTGTCACAGCAATAATAGGTGCTAATGTTGTGGTAAGTCTGCATTTGTCTTGTTTACATTCTTGAAATAACTCTACCTTTCATTTCAGCTGATATCTGCGAGATCAACCACAATGAATACGATGAGAAAATTCAAAACTGAATCATGAATGCAGTAATAATCTTTGTGGACAATTGTGGACAATTGTGAACAATTGTAGATATAACCAGTGGCAAGCAGAAGAAAACATTTGCTGTGCTTTAACTTCTTAACGATGATAATGGTAGCAGCACTGATGTGAAGTGAATTGCTACAAGTTGGAACAAATTTTTAGCGGAATATTCAGTTTGTTACCCTTGTATTACTCAGTGCTGCTGAGGAATTTTAAAATTAAACCGTAAGTAGCAAAGCCATGTCTACCTGACATTGTAGTCGTTTGGAAGCAACTCTCTGCAGAACCATCGTTATCCATGTAGATTGGTTACTTGCGCATTCAAGAAGAGGACCTAGATCTCCGAAATGATCTGCAATAAGAGAACTCGAAACACCGCCCTACTAAGCAAAAAGTAGTACTATCTTCAAAGAGCTTGAAGGCATACTGGAGTCAGTGAGACTCATCGATATTGGAAGACGGCATGCTGATGAGAACTCTCGAGAGCGACTATGGGTCGAATAATCGTATGAAGTTAGTAATTCTTAGGAGTCGAGTGGCAGAAGGGGACATCTAGGATTGAAGAAGATACTGAAGCGGATACAGGAGCGGTTCTACTGGGTTGACTGTAGTGAGGACGTCAGAAAGTAGTGCCGAAAATGTGAACCAATGGACAAAAAACGATGTTTTGTCTCATTGGTTCACATTTTCGAGAGGATTTTCATGGACATTTCTGGGCTGTTTCCACTGACTGATACTGTAAATGAATACATCCTTATCTGCATGAGCTATTCCACCAAGTGGGTGGGAGCGTAAGCGATCCCTAACCAGAAGCCGGTAACTGTCGCAGATGCTCTACTGAACCAATTCATCAGTCGTTTTGGGGAGCCTTTAAACTTCACTCTGATCGAGGCCGGAACTTCGAGAGTGAAGTATTCCAGAAGATGAGTGAGAAGCTATAGGAATAAGGAAAACTCCATTCTATCCGCACTCAGATGACATGTCTATGATGGAACGCATTGACCCAATCATCTTCGCGAAGTGGTAGATCAGCACCAACAAGACATCGATCAACATCTCCCTATCTTCTTGATGGCCTACAGATCTACAGTACAGAAGTCTACGGATCAGGCTCCAACAAAAATGGTATTTGAACGAGAGATGTGGCTTCCATATTGCTTGGTGTTCGGATGTAGACCTGGTTACAACGTTGTGGGAGAAGATTACCTCACGAATCTAACAAAGAAGATGCACGATATTCACTAATTGGCTCGTTCTAATCTGAAAATCTCCAGCGATCGCATGAAGGACCGATACGATATCATAACTGGAGGAACAGGCTACGCAGAAGGAGACGTGGTGTGGTCGTTCAACCCACAAAGGAAACGAGACATTTATCCTTAACTCCAGAGATCTTGGGAAGGAACCTATACCGTCAAGAAGGAGATCAACGATATCATCTACCGTAAACTATCCAGTGGCAAACCAAGATTCGTTCATATCAATAGACTGGCACCTTCGAGATGATTCAAGATCAACAAGTACAACAAGTACGTATGGAAGGAGAGGAGTTTTCATTCGACAAATCTGTTTCATCTCACAACGAAATGAAGATCTTCTCGGAAACGCACATATAAAGATCTCTGAGATTCACTAGTCAACCTACGAAGTGCTGTACTCAAGAAAAACATTCAGAAAAATAGCTGTTTCAACGCTGCCCTGTGGTCTGGATGGATTGAATTGAAGAATTGTGAGAAACATGCTTCAGGTTGTGTTACCATTCACCGGAAATTCTGGTATGTTGCTGGAACTCCAGAGAAAATTTACGAGAGGGGTCAATGTCATGCTACTTCTACCGTACCTTGAGTTGTAGAAATAAAACCAGTTGTGCGTATATCTTCATGACGAGCAAAATGCATTCTAGGACGAAAGCATTTCGATCGAGTTTGAGTTCTCGGCAGCTGACAAAATATGTTGTTGCCATAGTAAGATCACGTTACCGCCTCGAAAAAATAAAGCAGCGTACTTTCGAGACACACCAATATGATTCTTTCTAGTATTGCAGGAGATGGCAGTTTCATATATGTAGTGGTTTTGTTCTAGAACAATAGAAGGGTACGGTAGATGATCTAGAACGTTCAGGAAACCACAGCTCGCCAAGGCCACTAATATAAAAGGTGGTCATTAAAAACTTGTAGAAACTCTCAAGAGTTGATCTGTGACTAATTTCAAGATAAAAAGTTCATATGGACATGGTTCCGCAACGGCTTGGTTTTTGAGATTCAGGACGTCCAGAAATAGTTATTTTTGTATCTAGAGCGCGAAATGCTACTTTGGTGATCGAGATCTGATTTTTTTAACGAGGTGTAGCCGAGTTGAAAAAATAGTCGAGATGACCAAAGTATTTCGCGCTCGAGTTGCAAACAAAATTTTTTCTACAAACGTCAAAAAATATAGTTCTGAAGTAAAAATATGCTCAACTTGATATGAAAAATAGTGTTGAACTGGCTTGAAAGGTCTCCCGCCCCTATCCGCCCTAGGTACGCACGATGTTCCACGAACATAATAGGAATTTCCTTTCGTGCGCTCCAAGAGAGAAAACAAAGTTATTGTTGAACATTCAGAAATAAATGATTTTGTGGATGTCTGCTCGATTGAGGACCATGAAGTTGAAATATAGATATCTCATTTATTTTACATAACAATGCGCGAAGTAGGTACTTCGCGCACTGTTTTACATCGCGTTTTGTGCAAGGAATCATGGTAACGTAGGAAACTGAAAAAAAGTGTCACTTCGCAATTTGTTATCAATGCGCGAACCTTGTCATTTTTTGACGTTCGTAGAAAAAATTTTGTTTGCAACTCGAGCGCGAAATACTTTGGTCATCTCGACTATTTTTTGAACTCGGCTACGCCTCGTCAAAAAAATCAGATCACGATCACCAAAGTAGCATTTCGCGCTCTAGATACAAAAATAACTATTATTTGGTTTGTTGATCATTTTATCCTTCAATATCATGGCAAATTGACGAAATACGGGATACTGGGTATATTGATGAGAACTTATTATTAATTTGGTTCTCTGTTTAACCTATTATTCAATCAATTTCACCTACAAAAGCTAAAAGCATCTCTTTTTGGTGAAAACTGGTTGAAAGTTACATTTTTTTGCGTTGGAATTTTTGAAGAATAATCAAAAGTTATCTCCACAACATTTATTAGAATGATCAACGATCAATCATTAAGAAACATGATCCGGGCTTATATAAGTCCATCATCTACCAATAAAGAGAATCATAGTTATGGAAATGAAAAAAGTAGACATACAAGTATAGTTAATAACAGTGCAAACAGGGAAATATGCTTCATGATTGTCTCTGTAAAATGACATGACGATGGATGGATGGATGGTTCCAATTCATGTCCAATGGGCATGTATTGGATTGCCATTCGCAATCTATTGGATGACTGAAGAACATACATTGGACATCCAGTGGATGTTCAAAATTTCAGACATTTGTCATCCAATGAATACATATTGAAATATGGTGTACAGACAATGGATGTCCATGGCGTCCAGACATGGTCCAGACATAGAGGTCCATTGGATGTTCATTGGACATCATCGTGTTATCTGGGTAAGAGATTTCCAGAAGATGGTGATACTTTAACATCAGTGTCCAATAAATGTGACGTTTGAATGTTTCAATCAACGTTTTGATCCCAGAAGCAATAATCTATAGATAACCTATACAGGTGTCTCAGGTCTGACTTGTCCAATTTTCACATTCGATAGAAACATTGGAACTATAATATAAGAGCTTGTTTTATTTTCTCATTTTTCGTAAGGAAATTGACTTCTAATATACGGTATGTTGAAATTCGATAAATTGTTTCAAGCTTTAACCACTGTTTAAACAAATGCAGACCTTCGATGACCATCAACTAGTCATTTTCTAGAACATTTTAGCACCCCCTCCTTTCCGTGTAATCGAAATCAGTTTCTCCTTCATAAAACGACGAAATACGTATATAAAAGATTCGATTTTTCTATAGAGAGAGATATTTACAATTAGCAATAAACATCGCAACACACTAACTTGGCACATCCGAGTACTTTCCTCTCAGTGTTTGGTGGTATTCCTCATGTTGAGCACTTTATTGGTAGTTGTATGCTATCTTCTCTCACCCAATATTGATAGCCAGTACCTTATATACGATAGTCCATTATATCTCTAAGTGAAGCAGAAAACCTCTAAGTCACAATGTTCGACAATTACGAAATCAATAAAGGATGAACAAAATTCGAACCTAAAAGGAGTGTTTATCTTTAGTTGAGTGGGCAGTATACTACCATCAATGTATATAGTTGAAAGTAAAGGACTAATAGTTGAGAATGGTTACACATCACACCCACGTAGGGAAAAAAGAGGTGGAAGAAATTGAAGCAGCACCTTTTGTTGGAACCAAGAGATTTTTCCTTCTACACGACGTGAGTATGCACGCAACAAGAGGATTTGTTGTATCAACAAATTATCTGAATACTGTTGAATTGTGCCATTTTTTGTTGAATTTACAATATTATCATTTCAAAGAAACAACTTGTTCTTCTCATCATTATATTTCAGTTGAATTAACAGTATAATATCATTTCGATATACAAAATATTCGATTACATCAATAGTACACAAATTATATTGATCTAAAATGTATGTCAACAATGGAACAATGATATATATTTTGTTATTGTGATGAGAATGGTAATTATGATAAGAATATGTCTTTTAGACAACAAACAATAAGTTTTCTTATTCCTACGTAAAATGCAATAGTCACAAATGACGGATCATTTTCTTCGAATAATGAAATACTCAATATCCATGAAATGTTTTGTAGATTGAATACTATAGTTGCATTTTTGACATAATTATATTGTAATACCTATAGCCTGGTCCTTAATTTTTTTGATTACGAGTCGCATTCGAATGAAGAAAATTGGGAATTTGTTCGAGTGATTTCGTGGATAATGTAACCACAAATATTTTGAATTATCCTATAGAAAATTTGATAGTTTGAATGATAAGGACCGTTCGTTAGCCGAATTGGAAGATTGAGTAGGTATTTTTTTTTTAAAGCTGTGGATATAACCGAATGGATGATGGGAACCTCTCCAGTTGAAATATTTTGAAAAAACTATTTCTATCCGTATATAACTTCCACATATATCTACTGAAAGTAGGCTTAACTTCGTAATTCCAAATGTTAATAGTCACTCTGAGATTTGTCTTTCACTCAAAATCCAATTGTGGAATTTCGGTGAATCCAATATAACTCTCTGTGATATTCAAAAACTTCTTCTACTTCCTATTATAACCCATTCAAAATGCGTATGGAAGAGACATTTTGAAGCTGGTGTATGATGAGGTATCCAAATCTGGGAAGGATTTTTTGTCTGCTGTAATAGTTTCGAATATTAGGGTATGTTCTGAATTTATTATTGTTGAGAAAGATAAAGGTACCCAAGAAGTTTTCATGAGTAAATCAACGCCAGTGTACTTATATCGGAAGTTTTTAGTTTGAATGTTTCCCAACAAAACTCCAGACTTCAGTTTGAATAGTTGTCTGTTAGTTGTTTTGAGCAAGAAACATTCTAGTCCATTCAGATTGTAATAACGGAGTTGTAGCCCACTTCCTGTGTTGAGTCATAGGCCTTTGCAAATATTTTGACTAAAGCGTTTTTCATCCAATCGGTGGCAATCGCAACTTCCAGAATCTTTCTATCGGGCTAACAAACGTTTTGAATTAATCATCTCAAACATGTACCCACACGGAATTTTAAGTCAGTCTGTTGAAGCTAGCGCCAATCCTACATTGTTCCTCGTTCTGCCTGCACCATTCGGGCTCGATGGCATCTGCATCGATGCCGATATTGACAAGCCTCTCTCTGTGCACCATGAATCTTTGTTCGGCAGATTCCCATCCAGTGGCTGGCTCAGACCAGAAGACCTCGGCCATCGCAGCAGCTCTCGGCCACAGCCGACTGTCGATCGAGGTCGAATCAGCTTGTTCCGTCCACAGAGTAGCTTCTCCGCCTAGGATTTGGTCTTTTTTGCTGCCTAGAAATACAAATCAAAAATACAATATCAAATAATATAATATTTTTGGAACTTCTCCAGCAAACACGAGCTACCTGCCCCAACAACATCCTAGATACGTCCATTTTATGTCCCAAAGGACATCCCTGGGTATATCTGGTACATCTCTGAATCATCCCATTCATGTCCCTGTATATCCTGATATCTATTTCTATCAGAATCGATGTGCAACAACAATATTCATTGAAGATGCATCATCGTTATTCCTCACTGAGTAAATCACTAGATAATTTAGGAAACAAATATGGATAGATATACTTATGATAGCGCCATAATTGAGGATTACAATAACCGAAGAGTCATCGACCAAGTCACCACAGTGCATATAGTCACCAATGAGTTTCATTAAAGGTTTGTGCAGTTATTATCATGTTTCTCTAAAAATATGCACAATCAATACCACATATCCTTTTCTATCCCATCCCCAAATAGGAAAGGAAAATCTGCCAGCCGTTATAGGCCTATGAGGCTGTTATCAGTAATTCACAAAGTGGTGACGAAGCCATCAATGTCGAGCTAGTCAGGCATCTGTTAAGCTCAGAAATCATAAATGACTATCAATATCAATATGGCATTGGGCATTGGGAATCTCTAGCTATGGCGTTGGTTATATCGAAGTATTCGAACGTTATTGGCACGAAGGACTTCTTCACAAACTGACATCTAAGTTATGTCTTCTCCCATCGACTTTTTTTCAGAGTGATCGTTTCATGTGGTGGTGAACGGAGAATTGTCTGATAGCCATCGATTCCGGCGTCCCACAATGATATTTTTGGCGCCCTCATTGTTCCTACTCCATGTCAATGATCAATTAGTTGTAAAAAGATACCCAAACCACTGCTTCGCAGATGATGGTACTCTCCACATTGCACTGCCTTCCAGAATCTCCATTTGATCTTTGGAAACTAGAAACTCACGACGAAGGCAGAACAAAGTCGGCTACCAAGATCTGAATGAAATTTCAGACTGGAAACCTAAAACTTGGTTGAATTCAACGCCATCAGAACCTAAGCCTATAGTATCCTTGAAAAGGCCTGACACCAAATGCCTGATGTGACAATGCCTGGTTACACCTATCTCACGTCCACAATATCTATACACGGTATATCTCCATTAGTGAAACTATTTCATGGTAGTCCTGTCAAATCTATCGCGAAAGCTGCTTCACTAAAGCTTGGCTTTCAATTCCGTACGAAATGCTACTTTATACTACACAGCATCATATGAAACTGAAGAATCACAGATCTAACCAGTTCGAGAATACTGTATTCACATATGAGTTTCAGTTATCAAACATGAGTTTCAGTAATTAAACGTACTCTGATGCTCTCAGATTCCATTCATAGATGAGCAATTTGCTTGGTTGATCTTTAGTATTCAGTCGTGTCTCTAATCCAAACGACTGCATACATTTTTCTGATGGCCCAATAAAGTGTTCAGGATCACTTGTTAAGAGGTAAAGCCCCCGTCATACCTTTGCTCGTTTCTTGAAGACTTCGGAGGTTTCAAATAAAATCAAATCAGAATATACTTCATTGTCTGAAGAAATGGGGCAACCAAATGACGGATAGAACAATTCAAAAACAATTTTGTATCTGATTTGATTTTTAGTCTTTGGCGATTATATACCTTCAAAGATTATTTGTATTATGAGTATATAGTTACCTGCAATTTTGATGGGTTTATTTTCGTAGACTTTTTGCCATCCTATATAAGGTGAACACCAATTATTTCCTTCTGAAACCCATGCGGCAAATCCACAATCCAAATAGAGAGCGTCATAGTTGCTCAAAATCAGCTTGTAGCCATTTTCAAGAAGATTAGCTATCTGAAAGCAAAATGATATCACTTTACCAAAAACAATATACATAGTTTATTACTATCCAGCCAAGATTTTAGAAATACACTTTCGACAGTCAGTATCTCAGAGTCATCGACAGCATACACTTGGCGTCTCGTGTCAAGTTTTCTATTTCGCTATACCCTAGAGACAGATCGACCATATCAACTCATCTGTGAAATACTGCACTCAACAATATTATATAATAGTCTTCCTTCCTCTGCCAAACTAGTGTCCAAAAATATCAAATAGGTTTGTATATAGGGCCATATACCGACCCCTACTTACATACATACCAAACTTGGTATAGGCGATATGATTATTCAATGTGATAATTTCCAATTTGTTTTTGACATATGTTATGCATATTGATTTGGTCATAACATTGTTAGGCATCGCTGACAACTTTTTGCAATAAAACACGATGACTAAAGGAAGAAATATATACGGTGAAGTAAGTAGCAGTCTATGTCCTAGGGATAAGTATTGTATAATGATAATTTTTTCGAAATGCAAGAAAATGTGTATGGGACTGAAGTGACCTAATCCCTTGACTCATTTTTCCCCATGGAAATTAATAACCACTCGCAGAACTGAATGGTATATTATGATGATAGTGAATTCTTTTCTTGGCGATTCATCATAATGAGCGCGATCTCAGTTTTCACAAAACTATGCCTGATTCGATCCTGACTATATTCAAACATAGTTGTGAGATAATCATCTTGATCATCATCAGTGAATATTGATAAATCGGGTGGCTACGATGAACCGATGAACTGTAACTTATCAATCACTTGAGATAGACTTATGAAATTTGTAGGACTTTAATAACATCTTGGTTCTCACGATGTTCTCTGAACATACAGGATATCCCTCCCTTTTCGTGGGAACCAGAACATAAAAAAAATTCACTGATACAATTACACATTTTGATATACTTCCGGTTTCAGCAGAAATGACCCCAACTTTCGATTTTCAATTTGCACACCCTTTGTTTTCTCACATTTTTGGATTTAGATCATTTTACTCATAGTTGTATGATTTTCACAGGAATACATCATAGCCAACTAGACTCATCATAATCTTTTTCTTTTAGAATTTATTTAGATCTTATCCATTTTGTTTTTCGATTATCAATCAGATATTGACATATTATTATGTGGTAGGTATCAATCGATTAGTAGAAGAATATTCTTGAAAAAAAAAATTACCTGACCCACCATTATTCCAATTGAAAAAGCGAAATTATTCTAGGGAAATCATTTATGAACACTCGCAGAGCCGTTTTATACGTAAGATAGTATGATCTGAACCCTTTCCTTCTGAATGAATTGAAACAAAAACAATTCATGGCATTTACAGCCACTTAGATAAGATTCAAAAAATCGAATTTGAAATTGACGCATATACAACTGTAGGTAAACATGTAAACTGATCTCCTGAATACAAAAAATGTGAGAATATACAGGGTGTCTCATTTGAAAATTAAAAGTTGAGGACATTTCATGTGACACTGGAAGTAACTCGAAAAGCATTATCATATCAGTGGATGCGAAATGTGTTATATGAACCCTCCAGATTTCAAAATTTCATCTTGAACTATCGAAAAAGACAGGGGTGGCCTGGTTCACATGGCCACCGCATCAGGTATGTTCCACAGTTTTATTCATTATTTCGTGTGAGTTTGTTGCTCCAGTATGTTTCGTGTTGCCTTATTTGGAACTATTGAAGTTTATTAGAAATATACCCTGAGACATGACATTTGGAACCTATAAAAACTATACGACTGAATATTTCGGGTGCGTAGCGTGATGCCAACTTCCCACGATGCCAAATTCCCACCAAGCACACCTTCATGTCGACGATTACGAAGATTGCCGAAGAGCGCAACGATGCCCAATTTCCACCATACCCACTTTTTTGGATTCCCCCCATGTCCACTTTTCATACATTTCCACGATGCCTAATTCCCACCATGCCCACTTTTCATACATTCCCACGATGCCAAATTCCCACCATGCCCACTTTTCATACGTTCTCACGATTCCCACTTCCCACCATGCCCACCTTCATCATGGTGGGAATATAAAGAAGGTGGGCATGGTGGGAATTGGGCATCGTAGGAATTGGGCATCGTGGGAATATATGAAAAGTGGCCATGGTGGGAATTAGGCATCGTAGGAATTGGGCATCGTGGGAATTTATGAAAAGTGGGCATTATAAGATTCTTGTATTCATGATTTTTTTTCTTGACCTCTCAACGTTGCGCAATTTGGCAGTCTTCGTAATCGTCGACATGAAGGTAGGCATCGACGGAATTGAGCATCATGAAAATAGGTCATCGTGGGAATTGTGCATCGCGGGATGCTCCCAATATTTCGTGATATGATTCAAAAAAGATGTGTGAAAACTGTTCGCACTGGTTTAACCGAATTGGCGAGTGGTCCCGTCTTGGGAAAGCTATTCCATCATTGATGCGATCTCGATATATTGGTTAATGAGTAATTTTGGAATTTTCAGTATATTTTTACCTGTGTATCATTTCCCAAAGTCCAAACTTGAATGAAATACTGATCCTTGGGAAGCGAGTCGATGACATATTCCTCATGAGTGAGATGGCTCGTCCACATCACAATCGGTATCTTCCGTCCTGCTCTCTTCAGAAGTCGTTCGAGAGCGTTGGTCTGGAAATGGTTCCACAGTTTGATGAAATCCTTTTCCTGAAGTCCCCAGCCTTTGGCCTTCATCCATTCCTTGATGTTTTCTGTGTTGTTCCAGCAATTGAAGCTAACTTCGTCGCCGCCCATATGGAAGATGTCGGGTTGGAATTGCTCGAACATGTCCCCGTAAATATCTTCGGAAGAAAAGTTGAACAGGAAGATGAAGATAAGTTATACTAATATGCACGTGTGTACAGGGTGTTCCGTAAGAACGTGTAGAGAATTCAGGAGAATGTTGCTGACGTCAGAAACGAATTACTTCCGGACATATATTTATACAAACTTTTCTTCTTCTTTTGACATCAGTAACATGCTCCTGAATTTTCTACACGTACTCAAGAAACACCCTGTATATTTCATTAACAAACAGTCGAAATGAAATATGTATATCCTTACTGAAAATCAGCAATATACATATATGGCAGGATGGAATGATATTGATACGATAGAAAGGAAAGATTTTACAACCAAAGAAGAAAAATCAAAGAATCCTTTGCATTCTTCTGTTTACTGTTCTGAACAAATATCAGTTAGAAATAAAACAGTCAGAATCATTATTTTTCATTCGTTTGTTGAAAACATGCCTAGAGCGTCCAAATATGAGTGCAATTCCATATATTTTCCTCATGTTCTACTTCAAACATGCTTCAAATATTGTGTCACTGACTGTCGATTGATTTTTTCCCAGGCTCTCAATAATTACATTCAAAACATAGTGACATTCTGAGGCAAATCTTCTCATTTGGCCTTACATGTTGATATATTGAAATGATACTGATAATTTTATTCATAAACACAGGAGAGAACTATTAGTTTTGTTTTCAAATAAGGTCTACCCAAAAAACCGATAGTGAACCTGATTTTCAGATTGGATTATTTCCATTGAAGAAATATCGATTTCAATATCAATCATTCTGTATGAGTATTACTATATTCGGAAAAACGCTAAAATGGTTTCTTCATTTTGGGAAAATGAGTTGAAGGACATATTTTTCGGATCAAAATAAGACTATTTCTTTGAATAAACATCAGTTCTAAAATTCACCCCCTTTGAGCTACAACCACTGTAATTGAGTTGAAGAATGCCGGATCGAATCTGCTGAAATTTAGCATGCCCCTGTCCTTGCTTCGAAAATTATGTTAACCCAGAGTTGGATGAGTTGGAGAGGGGGGGGGGTCATCACTTTCATTGGCCAAAATGGGGTACATTTCAGAGAACATATTATATCTTATTTTCATCCCAATAGTACGACCTTGAGATATTTGAATCAAATTTTGAATCCCCTTGTAGAATAGATGAGACCAGTTACTGACCCTGTACCTTATTCATGTGCCATTGAGCAAGAGAGCTTACCTTCAATAGCGTCATATAATTTATCCTTGGTTGGGTCAAACTGCCCACACGGTGGCTCTACGCAATACGTCTGCCATGGCTGCCAGTTGAAGCACGTCAAGAAATCGGTATCTTGCCAACCTTCGCCCACATGGGCAGGAACATCGAATTCCGGCATAACCCTAACGCCTCTGACGGTGGCATAATCGATGATTTCCTTGATGTCGCTGTTCCTGTACACCTTGCTAGGAGAGTAGGCACCCAGTTTGGTGAGGTTGGGTTGTGACTTGGAATCGTATGGGAAGCTGTGGGAATCTGTGATGTGCCAGTGGAATGTGTTTAGTTTTGATGCACCCATCGCTTTAATGGTTCTCTTGATTGTTTCGACGTTGATGTAGTTGCGAGAGGTGTCGAGAAGGATCCCTCGATAAGGATATGCTGGTGCATCGGTGATGGCGACATTTCTGGAAATTCAATCTATAATTGCACCCAAAGAATGAAATGTGTATAATGTTAATGAATGACATATTCATCTGAACAGCGCTTAGCACACACAGTTTGAGTGTTATGCAGTTTCAAACTATCTACCTATGCTAAAACTATCCTACCTGCCCAATTCATGCATCATACATGAGGAGTATTGTTCTCGTTTTGAGTTGATCAAGTTCCTTCAGCCAGGTTAGGTTATTACAGCTCTAGCTTCATGTGAGCTTTGAATTCAAGCACGTAGGGACAGGGCGCAACAAAAAATTTCCGGTAAGAAAAAAATATAATTGAAAAAGAGCGAATCACTATCGGCCTCAACAGTAAATGTCGTCACAGTGTTTTTTTCAGGGAGGATGGGAATTATCCATTCTGCATAAAAAAGAGACTTCTTGTTCCAAACAATCTAACCTTACTCGGCGTAAATGTATCTTCTGCCTAGAAAATATATCTTTCGAACAATCTCTCAAAACAAAAAAGCTGACCCTCGCATGCATTGAACCCGATTCGCTGGCGTGTCATTCGGGCGTACGTTCAATCAATTTTGTTGGGGGTTAACATAAAGCCGTCTGTTATACTATAAATTATCATCAAACACCATTCCCAAACTGTAACAAAAAATATTGCTAACGAGAATTTAATTTTATAAGACCATTGTTGCTGTCACCTGGTAAATTGTTCCTTTGCCAATCGTCACTGGGTAATTATTTATGTTAATAAATCGAACAGGTACATTGTCTTCTGCTTACATTAACGCCTTGCCGATTGGCATTCCTCGTCCAACTTGTTCTTCATGGTTCCAGGGTTCCATGATGACGGGACTGCCTTGCTCCAAAGTACCCTCGATCCGAGCTGCTGAAATGGTGTCGCTCTGGTTTGGTAACAGTAGGTCCTCTTCTAACGTTACCCCTGCCGCTACCACCACCCGTGGATGTGAGAAAATCTCTTCGGCCCCCATCTTAAGCGTTCTGCTTCTGAAGTTCAGTTGAATCCCTTGCGCACCCATGATGTCGATTCCCAGAATAATAATATATTCATCAATATCTGCCATGATAGCTCGATGTGGAAATTTGACGGTCCCGATCTATATACCCACATCGATTTCGTTATAAACGGTGGCAGCTTTACCCATTCTCGAATGCCATCTTCAATAGACGTGTTGCTTTCTTAGGGACTTCAGAAGTCCATGTCACAGGATCGTCCTCGTTGCACCAATATGCACCAAGAGTGCGCATTTCTTGTTGGCGATCTGCCCATCTACGTAGACGCTGTTGATACCACGCCTTAGGGATGCCACGAGAATTATCGAGGAGCTCTTGAGAATGCGGGTCGAAGCTGCCCCCTTGAGATCGATGCACCCTAGTTTTCCTTGGAAGATGATCCTTCCACAGTAGCCTGTTTGGAACGTTTACAAGTTTTCTGAAGATCGCCCAACTCTCTGCAATTTCAACAGCGAACTGTGCTCTTCCTCTTATCCAAAAGGCCCTTGGTCGCGTTGATTAAGGCTTCATTTGAATCTTGCCTGAGGTTGTCGGCTATGTTCTCGCTATCATTCATGGCTCGGACTTTAGCGGATCATCGAGAGGCTTCTGCTGCGGCCTCGACTTCAAGTGCTGTTGCCAGAGTACTGGTGAGGTCTTGAGGTCGAGTCAAGCGAACTGCTTTCTGCATTTCAATATCTCGTAATCCATCCACGAGCCTTTGAACATTTTAGACATTCCATAAGGGACTCGGGGGCTGACGGGTAGGCACAGTGGACCAAACGAGCTACGTCCACTTCGACGATTCTCCATCTGTGATTGGAATACTTGCTGCAGATGTTCATGGCCATACCGCTTTTCGAGACGTTTGACGAAATGATCGTCGCTATCGGCTTCAACTTCTGGGATGGCTTACAGGATGTTCAGTGCATCACCCCGTAGAGCTACTGTAAGAGCAACCAACTTGTTCATCGATGTCTACCCATTAGCTTTGGATGCTGCTTTCAACTGCTACAGATAATTTGGCCACCTTTTTCCATCAAATATAGGTGGTTTCACTCGATGTGTGTCAGTTACTGGGACTAGGCTTACACTCAATGTTCACCATTTCCTGACATTTCCAATACGAATGTTTTCTGAGATTGCAAATTCAATCACCTTCTACAGTTCCTTATTTGCAGTCACAGTTTCCCCCATGTGAGTGACGTATTGGGTTGAAATCTTAACTGTTTTATCCAGCTGAGCCTCAATCTGTTCTTGCTGAGCAACGATTCAATCCTGCTCAACGGAAATCTGGGCTAATACCTCTACTGGCTGGGACGACATCTCAGCCAATATCTCTTGCCGTTGGGCTGATATCTCAGAGGAGATTTGGTCTTGCTGAGTAGAAAACTGGAATTATACTCATTTTACTTGATCCTCAGGGATTTTCTCTCCTCGTTTCTATAAAATAAGAGTATTCGTATTATTTCAATATATTTGTAGAGGGACAAATCAGATGATTTGCCCCGAAATGTCACTGCGTTTATCAAATTTTCTTATCAGGGCGTCTAAAACAAAATCCAGTAGCTTGTCTGTGACAATTTGTTTGAAAAAATGTTTGAGAGTTGATTGAGAGAAAGAAATATAGATATATAGGAAAAATATCGAATTTCTAGTTATCTTTGGACGTTTCGGGACCGATTCTGCTCCCGTTCTCAAAATGTAAATGTTATGTTTCTTTGAAAGTTGTGCTACGTATATTTTGACACTTTTCAGTGTCATACTGATGTTGGCATATGAATGAGTGATTTCAGTCTACAAATGAGTTACAGGATGTTTTCATTAATTGATCTTGAATCTACCATTTTCATGTTCAGTTTCCAGTAGTGAATACCATGTTCTATCTATATCAACTGAACAGGAAGTCATTCGTAGACTAAAATCACTCATTTATATGCCAACATCAGTATGACACTGAAAAGTGTCAAACTATACGCAGCACAATTTTCAAAGAAACATAATTTGCATTTACATGTTGAGAACGGGAGCAGAATCGGTCCCAAAACGTCCAAAGATAAGTAAAAATTCGATATTTCTTCAATATATCTATATTTATTTATTTCAAACAATTTTTCAAACAAATTGTCACTGACCAGCTACTGGATTTTTCTTTCATACTCCCTGATAGAAAAATTTGTTAAACGCAGTGACATTTTGTAGCAAATCATCTGATTGGTCCCTCTACAAATATATTGAAATAATACGAAAACTTTCATTTTATAGAAACGAGAAGAGACTATCCCAAAGAATCAAGTAAAATGAATGTTCCACCTCCTTGATTAACCTACAGACAGTATTTGGAATTATACTCCTTCCTCCCTGCTGAACCGACATCTGAGCCAATAACTCCTCCCTTTGGGATGTTATTTGGGAGGCGGTCTGATCTTGCTGAGTTGAGGTCTTCCTTTGCTGAGCCGCCATCTGGTCTACGATCTTCCCTTGCAGAGCAGCCATCTGGTCCACAATCTTTTCTTGCTGAGCTACCATCTGGTCGCAATGTCCTGTCGCTGAGCCGCTATCTGGTCCGTGATATCGTTCTGATGAGCAACCATCTTTTCCGACATCTTTTGCTGCTTCTCTCACGGAGTCGATCACTTTTCTTGCCGAGCCGTCATCTGATCTGTGATCCTCTCCTACCGAGCAATCATCTGATCTGGTATATCCTGACGCTGGGTCGTTATCTGTTTCGAGATTCCATCCAACATCGATTCCGCTAAAGCTAGTTTTTAGAAGCTGTATACGTCCCATGATCTTGACCGACGATACCATAAGATGCTCTTTAGGACGATGGTGACGTTTCGCCTTGATCCCTTTTGTGTCTTTCTTCATTGATACAGTATGTTCACTTCACACCAAAATACATCACACCTCACACCAATTGTTATGTTATTCGTGTGCAGAAGCGAACACTGACACTACATATTTAGTTTCGAACTGATTTATTTAACTTGGAGGAATACGAATTTATAACATTTTAAAACTACTATCCACATGAAAAAGAATAATATATACAGTCTGTCCAAGATAAGGTTGAACAGCATGGGGATCTCGGGAACGGTAGGAGATACGAAGTCGTTTAAATGGGGAAAAAGTTGCGCATTCGGAGGCTCATATCAAGCGCTCCCGAACATTCTCAAAATTATTTCTAGTTTTTGAGTTATATCGAAAAAAGTGAATTTTTGGAATATCTATTTTTTTTTCTCCGGTATTATCAGAGATACAGAAAAACTGGAAATACTTTTTCATAGCAACTTTTGATGACGTTTAACGTGGTGAAACCGATTTTGGTATGCAACGTTTCGTATCTGTAGAACTATCATCAACTTTTGTTTTTTAAATACGGTCCTGATAATTTCTTCACAGATTCTGAAAGGTTTTTTTATTCTGAATTCAACCATGTATAATACGAGGTGATTCGAATGTGTTTCGACCTATTCCTATCCATCATCAATGTATTTTCGAACTTCCAAAGGAAAAGTGCCATCAGTTCCACTTATTACTGATCATTCATTGTCAAACATTGATGGGTTATTCAATACAGAGAAGTGAATGAAAAATATTTCACTACATCATTCAATGCAGCGCTTAAAATTGTTGATGAATTCTTACACGAATTACTTTAACAACCTCACTTTGACAATACCTACAGAAACATTCATAACAAACGTACAAAATGATAACCATTCTTTTCTGAACAAAGATATCCTCTTCTCACAGTTGCTTCTAAGACATTACTAAGCATTTCTGGGGTTATTCTATTGAATGCTTCGATGACACTGTCCCTTAGTTCTTCTTCATCATCAAAGTTATTTGCGTATACAAAGTTTCTGATATATCCCCTAAGAAAAAATCCAGCTGTGTCAAATCAGGCGACCGCGCCGGCTAAGGGACTGTAGAATGAGTACCAATCCATTTTTCTGGATAAAAACGCACGGACTTCTCTATAATTATGTACCGGAGCGCCATCTTGTTGAAACCAACAGTTCTGAACTTCCGCAATCGGTAAATCATCCAGAGCTTCCTCAAGATGATTCTCAAGCAAATTTCTATAACCTTCGGAAGTCTGTGTTTCATGGTAAATAAAAGGACCAATAATTTGTGTACCAAATATTGCAACCCACATATTAAAGCCGAAACGGTGTTGGTGTCTCGGTAAGTGACCATGCTTTCATCAGTGCAGATGATTGTTCGAGGGAAATCTGCAAAATGTTGACATTTCCTGGTATACCACTCACAGAATGTCACATGAATTTGTATGGATGGAATTTTTGTTTCCGCAAAATGGAATGGGTTGTTGATTGAAACCAGTTTATTGAGGACCGTATTTGAAAAACAAAAGTTGATTATGGTTCTACGAATACGAAACGTCGCGTAAAAAAATCGGTATCACCACGTTAAACGTCATCAAAAACTGCTATGAAAAAGTATTTTCAGTTTTTCTCAATCTCTGATAATAACGGAGAAAAAAAATGAAATAGATATTCCAAAAATTCACTTTTTTTGATATAACTCAAAAACTAAAAATAATTTTGAGAATTTTCGAAGGCTCTTGATATGAACCTCCGAATGCGCAACTTTTTCCTCATTTAACCGACTTCGTATCTCCTACCGTTTTCGAGATCCCCATGCTGTTCAACCTTATCTTGGACAGACTCTATATACATATATATGAACATTATATCATTGGGAATATTCGTGGGAAGCAATCGAATGTCACCATAATTAGTCAGATTTCTTTGTCGAGCTTCCGAATTTTCATATTTTGGCGAAAGAGCCCTCCTACTTGAATTCATTCGCCAAAATATTGAAACGAAATGCAGTAGGAATTGATCGAATATTTTTATGCACTTATGTATTGAACTCCAAAAATCGAGGTGAGCCTGCAAAGATTTAATCATTTTGAAGGGATTCGAATGAACTCATAAAGTTTGAAAAGATTTCAACTACTTTGATATGTATATCTCGGTTAGAGAGGGTAGTGGGAAGAATGTAGACATATCATTGATATAAGGGAAAAACCCAAAAGTAATATCTGCAAGTATTCAGTAAAATATACAACATTGGAAGATTACGAAAGAAAACCAATTAACTACTTGTCTGTTGATATCATTATGTTTATTATTATACAGTCAGTCTTTCAATAGTCTTGAAACGGTCAGAAACGGCTCGGAGAAAATTCATATAATTTTATATATAATGGATTTTGAATGGTTTTTGATGATGCCCAATTTTTTTAAATGGAACACGACATTAATTTCCATTTCAATCAATTCAGCGCCCCCACATTACTTATATCTCTAAATATAATGGAGTCAAATCGGGAGAGCAGACAGGTCATTCTATGCTTCCTCTCCGTCCAATCCATGTGTTTGGGAATGTGTGGTCCAAAAATGTAAGCGCCACCCTTGAATAATGAGGTGGTGCCCCATCTTGTTGGAATCATATCTCTTGTATTTTGTGAATCGGGTTTTTGTGACACAGCAAATTTGGAAATCTTCCAAAATCAAATATGTCAGGGAGCTCTTTCAATCACGCATCAAATGCTAACTGAACCATCAGGCAAATTTTATGCCCGCTTGAGATATCGTTCAGCAAATTCGGCAAACATTTTGAGCGCTTAGATAATCATCAGTTTCCATTATTCCATTTGATGCACTACTTTATTGAAGAAGAATTAAATTATTGGAATGTTCATTCATCAAAAACCATCCTGTATAAAATGTCTCGATATTGTCTCGAGCCCTTCCGAAAATATTGGACTGTTCGCAGACATTTTAACGAAAATTACACATTGTCATATTTCAAAAACCAAATTCAATATGAATATCACATCTGATGTAGACATAAGTGATGAGGGGCGCTGAATTGATTGTAATGAAAATGAATAGCGTGTTCCTTCTTAGAATAATAAGTTACCCTCAATAGATGAGAAACTGTTGATTTGGCAAATTTGCCAATATCATAATTGAATCGGGCATCATCAAACACCATCCTGTATATAAAATTTCATGAATCAGGACGGGTGAAAGCAGAACTTACAGTCACAACTCCACCACATAAAAAAAAATTTAATAATGACCAACGGACATGGACATAAGAAAGGACATGTTTCGAAGGATTAATCCTTCATCATCAGCAAATGTGTTAAAAAGAAAATCTGTAAGAAGAAACAATGCTTATGTTAGTTATAAGTCTTGATTATGGAATCTAAATGTACCTACCATTATTGGTGGGAAAAGTTCACATAATACAAAACATGGGAAAAAAAATATTGTTCATAAACCGCGCATAGTGCGGGTGAGTTAATGTTAGGAAACCATATTTTAAGCTCAATAATAAGCGCTTAGATAATAAAAATTGTGACAAAATTCACTTATCAAAATGTACCAACATGTGGAACTGGATTTGTTGAATTAGGTTAACTAATCACAAATGACAAATGACAAATGACAAATGACAAATGATGACAATGACGCTGAGGACAAAACACAACATTAGAATAACAACCGTCAAGTCAAAACTAAGGAATGTTTTGATTCGAAGTGACATAGAACACAGAACCAAAATTGTAATTAGTTCTGTGTTCTATGTCACTTCGAATAAAAACATTCCTTAGTTTTGACTTGACGGTTGTTATTCTAATTTGTTTGATCTCAGCGTCATTGTCATCATTTGTTATTTGTCATTTGTGATTAGTTAACCTAATTCAACAAATCCAGTTCCACATGTTGGTACATTTTGATAAGGGAATTTTGTCACAATTTTAATTATCTAAGCTCTAATTATTGAGCTTAAAATATGGTTCCCTAACATTAACTCACCCGCACTATGCGCGGTTGATAAACAATATTTTTTTCTCATGTTTTGTATTATGTGAAATTTTTCCACCAATAATGGTAGGTACATTTAGATATCATAATCAACACTTATAACTAACATAAGCATTGTTTCTTCTTACAGATTTTCTTTTTAACACATTTGCTGATGATGAAGGATCAATCCTTCGAAACATGTCCTTTCTTATGTCCATGACTGTTGGTCATTATTAAAAAAAAATTTATGTGGTGGAGTTGTGACTGTAAGTTCTTTCACCCCTCCTGATTTATAGCACCTCCGCTGTAAGTTATGGATCACATACGTTGGTTAAATTTCATGAAGTTTGCTCAAACCGTTATTCAAATATAAGACCGTTCCAAGACTTTTGAAAAACATTGTATGTTATCCAGAGACAAAGTATACAGGGTGTTTCATAAGTCATGGATCAAAAGAAATGGGGTGGTACTGGTGGTAGGAGGGGTCACTTCCGATCAAACTAACAGTATATGTGATTATCCAATTATTGAGGGTTCGAAAGCTATTAATGTTTTTTTCATTTCTATAAAAAGAATTAATTACGATAAAACTATGGCACAATTTTAGTTTTTTCTATTACAAATGTCATCCACATGGATGCACCTTACCCAGTAATGATTTCATGACATGTATTACTTCTTATCAATTACCTGAGAAAAATGTTTTTCTCCTTGGGTTTCGTCATCAAATGGAATATTTAGGTCGATTTTTAATTGCCGCTGGCAGATTTTAAAACTACCTCACAAAGATAACCAATCATGAGAAAAAGCACACTTGATACAGATTCCGAAATGGTATAACATATGGGGTTATTCGAAGCAGCCTTTACGTCATTAATTTTTGTCGAATGGTTCGCATTTCTCAGAAAAATTGAATAACTTCTGAACCATTAACAATTTGATAACAGCATATACCGTTAGTTTGATTACAAATGACCCCCTCTACTAGCCCACTTCTTTTGATCCATTATTTATGGGACACCCTGTATATTGGAAAATACCTTACCTTGGAATCTGTAATTCACTTCTCAGATCGTCGAAAATTATCAGCTGACTAAGTGTCTGCAGTCCATGCCGAGCTCCAAAGAAATTAGAAGCAGTGATGAGAACACTGATTCTTCCATCAGATGTTTCGCTGATTCCAAGGATGTAACTTTCGTCAGTATCTAGAGTCAACCGAGATACATTTCCATTCTTAATATCCACGTTAATTATCACAGATTTTCCTCCAGGTTTCACAGTTCCTTCAACTAACGCCTGTAAATTGAAATTATAACATATCTATTTATATAGAAATGTAAAAATTCATGTTGAGAAAAACACTTATTCCTACCCTTCCATCAACTCTATCGATTGAATCGGTTGATTTTATTGATCGGATTGATTCGACTTGATTCGATTGATTCGATTGATTCGATTGATTCGATTGATTCGACTTGATTCGATTGATTCGATTGATTCGATTGATTCGATTGATTCGATTGATTCGATTGATTCGATTGATTCGATTGATTCGATTGATTCGATTGATTCGATTGATTCGATTGATTCGATTGATTCGATTGATTCGATTGATTCGATTGATTCGATTGATTCGATTGATTCGATTGATTCGATTGATTCGATTGATTCGATTGATTCGATTGATTCGATTGATTCGATTGATTCGATTGATTCGATTGATTCGATTGATTCGATTGATTCGATTGATTCGATTGATTCGATTGATTCGATTGATTCGATTGATTCGATTGATTCGATTGATTCGATTGATTCGATTGATTCGATTGATTCGATTGATTCGATTGATTCGATTGATTCGATTGATTCGATTGATTCGATTGATTCGATTGATTCGATTGATTCGATTGATTCGATTGATTCGATTGATTCGATTGATTCGATTGATTCGATTGATTCGATTGATTCGATTGATTCGATTGATTCGATTGATTCGATTGATTCGATTGATTCGATTGATTCGATTGATTCGATTGATTCGATTGATTCGATTGATTCGATTGATTCGATTGATTCGATTGATTCGATTGATTCGATTGATTCGATTGATTCGATTGATTCGATTGATTCGATTGATTCGATTGATTCGATTGATTCGATTGATTCGATTGATTCGATTGATTCGATTGATTCGATTGATTCGATTGATTCGATTGATTCGATTGATTCGATTGATTCGATTGATTCGATTGATTCGATTGATTCGATTGATTCGATTGATTCGATTGATTCGATTGATTCGATTGATTCGATTGATTCGATTGATTCGATTGATTCGATTGATTCGATTGATTCGATTGATTCGATTGATTCGATTGATTCGATTGATTCGATTGATTCGATTGATTCGATTGATTCGATTGATTCGATTGATTCGATTGATTCGATTGATTCGATTGATTCGATTGATTTGATTTTCAGGAAATATTCGATAAGTTTCATTGTTTCGATTAGATCGTAAGGCCTGGTTTGGCCAAGTAAGTTATGGTAAATAAGTCAAGGTATAGGGTATAGCAGTACGTTATATGTAGTAAAATTCGTAATCTGAACCCTCAGTTAGCGACGCCACCTGACATATTTTTGCTTTTTTGGTATACCTAGTCTTCTCAAAGTCATTAGATTTAGATTTAGATTTAGAATGGGGCCTTCGGGCTATCTGCCTCCACACCGCGACCTTTTCAGATCTATTGTGTCTGCCCTCAAAATCGATTAGAGTTCTTCGGCTAGCCCCGTCTTCTCTATGAGACTCCATAGGCTAGCTTTCAGATCCCCTGTGTATCTCTGGGCTTCTGGTTTTTCCTCACCCAGCGTAAGGAACCTTAGTCTTGACAAGCCCTCACAGTGGCAAAGTATGTGTACTGCTGTTTCCTCCTCTTCCTGACAGAACCTGCACAGCAGTTCTTCAGTCAGACCTATCGTACTCATGTGTTTGTTGAGCCTACAATGCCCTGTGAGAAGTCCCACTAGTATTCTAGTTGAACTTCGTTTCTGGCTTAGTAGATATTCTGTGAATGTTGGCGATGGTTTTTTAATAAACTCTTTTGCCTGTCTCATTCCTGGCGATTTGTTCCACCATTCTTGAGATTTGGTTTGCATCCATGATTTGATACTAGTCTTTTGTATAGCTTTCGCAATACCACAGAAGGGTTCTGGGCCATTCAGAGCTTTGTTTGATCCTGCTCGGGCAAGTGAGTCTGCCTCTTCATTGCCCTCGTACCCTGTATGTGCTGGTACCCATGCTAGAGTCAGTCTGTTTCTCAAAGTCATTTGAAACAGCTTCAGCAGAAAATATACGTTGCGCGATTTTTTGTTATTCAACTGAGTACTTAGTATAATCTCACTGATATTTTATACTATCCATATCACAAGGAATTATTTGAGCCAAGTCATTTTCATTACACATCATCCGACTGTCAAAAACTGGTGTTTTCATCTGCACAGATTGTAAATTTTCCTGCTATATTCAGAAGCGTCAAATCGTTAATGTATTTGATATATTCAATTGACCCGAGTATTGAACCCTGAAGGCACACCACTGTATATGTATTTTCGCCATGTATAAACAATGCTAACCTGTTCAAAGATAAGATTGCATTGCATAGTGTTTTGCTGGTTTTACCCATATATCCGTCCGACAAACTTTCATCAATCCTGATACCGTTTGTATCTAAATATCCGGTAATATACAGGGTGTCCCGAAATTACATAGGAATATTCCAACCACAGATTCTATAAGAACATGAGGCCGGAAATGTCCCCCTTGGGAGTTATAGCCCATCTGAAAGAGGGCCCAAGATGATGTTTTTTTGTAAATATTTCCAGAACCCTCTTCTTCGGAAATAATTGCAGAAAAAAAAACATCATCTATAGGTCCCTCTTTCAGATTGCTTTAACTCTCCTGGGGGCCATTTCAGGGCTCATGTTTATATGAACATTTTTACTATTTTCGTTCGTATAATCTGTGGTTAACACTCTGGCTGCCAGTTTCCTGTTTTTCTCTCTCTATTAAAGGCGTTGTCAGTCATATGTGACCGACGGGACTTATAACAAACGGTACTTGGCAGTGATTTTCAACCGACAGCAGAAGTTTCAGTTCAAGCCGTGTCATGAGAAAACGACAGACGATGCATTCAAATCTCCATTAGATCTGAATTCGCGGCGCTCAAATGAACGTATGTGAATTTTTTTGTGGCGCTCACTATGGAATTTATAGCTATAATTTCGCCTCAAAAACGTTTATTGTATAAAATGTGAAAAAAACTCATGAACATATCTGAATCTAATTATTGTTGGAATGGGTTTTTATATGACATTCAATGCACATAGAAGGCATCTCTTGGCAGCCTTCTCAATGCGTCCGCACTCTCTTCATCTCATTTTCAGCCCCCTTTCTTGTACCATAGATTAACGAGTCGTCAAACTATGCTTGTACATATTGTTTCACGGGATTTTTGTAACAAATCAAACATTTTTTCTAGCTTTCGGTATTTTATCCTTCTGCTGTTATAGCAAATGTTCCAACCCGTGTGAGTTTATCGATAAATCAATAACTAATAGGAGTATATCATGCACTTTTACTTATGTACATTGGAAAAAATTGCCTTGTCAGGCCACGTCGGTCGATTTTAGCTGACATCTTTGTATACTCTTCTGTACACCAGAACGACTTCACAATGTCTGAGAAGCAATATGCTAATCACTTAGACGCCCCCTACTCTGAAAACTTCGCGTGGCCTGACGCGTCCGAACCAATGAAAATGCATTGGCACAGCACGAGATCAAGCTGTCGGTCAAAAATGGGTGACATGGAAGTCAGAGTGTTAAGATATTTCGATGTAATTTCGGGACACTCTGTATTGTTACGAGACTACGTTTTGCGGAATAGACGTTGCGCCGCTGTTGGGTGGCTTCGCTTCGGCCCAAACATTTAACTTGGCTTCGGCCGAGGCTGTTTGTTTCGTAGTAGAGAGATTCGAATATTCTGGCGAAAGATCTCGAATCGGCAGGATGTCATCGGTCAAATATAAATACGGGTACATATTCATGGTGTACATACCTAAGTTTGCCATGAAAAAGTGAATATTCAAATTGGTCAATTCGACGGAATTTCCAAGATACAGGGTCGTGTTACTTTTTTTGCCAAAATTGAACCACCTTGTATCTTTCCATTCGTTCGATCAATTTGACTGACATTTCATACACTCAGTCTACTGATCGAATTCAACTTCCTGATATACAAAATGTAACCGAATTCCTGGACCGAAGAATTTTAATCTAAGGTACGTTGTAGTTTCAGATCTCTGCTCATCATTCCTGAAACTACATGGATAAATGAACAAAAAAAAAATAACTATTTTATTTGAAAAAAAAATTCTGAAATAAAAAGTGAGTACAGGCGGCTCGGTGGTCGAGAGCGTGAAGGAGCTGAGTTCGTATGGGGACTCCCACCGAGACATAGGTTCGAATCCTAGTTAGGCCATCGATGTATGTGTTTGTATGCTTACCTAACCCCGCACAAGTTTTGACTTATGGGGCGTTTGGTCCCAGTGCTGGGACCGACGAGGTAAAAAAAAATATTCCAGAAAAGTTTCAGAATAACCAAAATATGTTGAGAATTACGATGATGAAGGGGGGTGACACATTTGAGTATACAACCTAAGTATTTTTTTTATGTTCTGGTTCCCACGAAAAGGAATATCCTGTAATGTTCAGAGAACATCGTGAGAACCAAGGGAAATAAGGTAGGAATTGGTGTTCTTTTTAAATTTCTGGGTAACACCTCCCTTGGCAATGTGTTCCAGAGCCTCGCTGTTCGTTGGATGAACGAGTCTTTGGAAAGAGATGTTCTGCAGGTCTCCAAAGTGACCACGAAGGGGTGAAAAGCCTCAACTCGGCGGGTTAATCTCGCGGGGACTACCAAGGGAGGTACAATTGTTGATATTTAAGAAGAGCATCGTCTATGAAAATATCATAAATATCACCCACGAGACGCATTGCCCTTCTTTGGACAGAATCTAACAGTTTCAGGGTATGTTTGGGTGCTGCACTCCAAATATGTACAGTGACTCCTGAATCATCCTATGAAGAGAGCGACTATAGCGAGTGAAATAAGTTCAATGTTTTCTTCGAAATGTTCTTCGAGTTGTAGACGTTGTTATTGTGATTCTGAACCGTGTATTGTAGACTATGGTGTTTGTATTCCAATAAATTGTTCTGTTTTCTACTGAGTGTTTGTGAAAAACCAAACCGAGACGTTCATCCTAACAATGGAATATGATAATTATTGAGGTTGAGAAAATATGGAATAAATGATTCATTCCATTTTCAAACTTCACGATGTATTACCTATCACTGTAGGTATACCAACTGCTTGAGAGCTCACCTGAACATCTTCTTTGAATATTTTCGCTGCAGAACGTATCAAATTAGCGGCAGGAGTATCTGAATTGGTCACTACATCTATACTATTGATATTTATCTTGGCCAACTGATTGCCGATGGTCACATCTCCTGTTGGTTTCGGCCATAGGGCTGCAGAATCGGAGCAGAACAGTCGACACGCACTCACACTAAGAGCGGATTCTTCTGTTTCAGGTGTAACTCTTTTTTTCTGACATGAGTTCTTCTCGCATTCCCATCGCCAGGCAGAATTCAAACCACTACAAAAATTTATAGTATATTATTCAACAAGGATATAATGAGGGTTATATATTATTCACGAAGGTTAAGTTTATGTCACGAGCATAGCAAGTGGCAAATATAACTTTGTCCACGACTACTATTGTCTTTGATATATGAATTTATTTTCAACAACTGTTTCATCATAAGATGGAAGCATGATGAAAATAGACTGGTGTAACCACTTGTCAATTGTTTTTTTCCAAAACGTGTAGACCGCGAAACACCGTAGCATGGCCGCACCGGATTGATTGTAGATGGCGTAGGGAACATCGTGCCACATGAACTTCACAGATATAATGAAAATATAACTTTTTTTTCATTAAATCAATCACTTTTTCTCAATGTTTTTGAATTACGAATTAATATACGTAAATGTAAACAACAAAACAAAACAACCATTGTGTAGCAAGATCACTTCGGGAACAGCGCCATCTAGAGTTAGTTTTGCGCGGCCTTACTACGGTGACAGAATTCGACATAATCAAGTAGGCCAGAGGTCTACATAAATTTCTAGGGTTTTGTAAGAGGGAGCTATTTCACCATACATATATCCACCTTTGATGGAAGTGATATCGAGGGAACTGTAAAGTGACTAGGAAAGAGATTATTGGACATAGTCCTCACAAAGAGATAACCGTATACACGTGTTTCGGGCTTTCGGCCCTCATCAGTACGGTGAAAGGAAGTGCAAAGGAACGGCAGCTCATGGTAGTAAACGAAAACAAATAAACGGAGTCAACAAACAGAAGCCAGCCGCTATGTCCAATTATCCCTTTCCTAGTCACTTTACAGTTCACTCGATATCACTTTCATCTTATTGCTTTCACTCCTGGACACAGATGTCACGCAGGTAGCTATAGCTGCCTCAGTGGTGACGTTAGCTGTTTACCTGAGACCTCAGGGTCTGCTGACCGAAACCACAAATGTGCGGCTGGCTTCTGTTTGTTGACCGTTTATTTGTTGTTTCGTTTACTACCAAGTGCTGCCGATCCTTTGCACTACCTTTCACCGTACTGATGAGGGCCGAAAGCCCGAAACACGTGTATACGGTTATCTTTGTGAGGGCTAAGTACAATAATCTCTTTCCTTGTTTCATCATAGCTCATTTGACATCTAGAAAACTACAAATTGAAAATAACTCTTATATTAGTTATTTGTCCGCGACTGTTGTACTTCCTCAAGCAAAACGATAGCGATTTTTCATACATTGTTCATCACAAATAATTGATTAATTCAATCAGCAAACATTATACCTTTCTCGATCGTCATTTGAGTATATAATCATCATGCAGTTAGTGTTTCTCGATGGAAATTAGGTAGATGAATATTTTGGATCAATATGATCCTTGGTCGTGAACAAAGAGTCAATATTGGTCATTCTCAGAATGAGCAAAACTTTTTCAATTTCGATTTTGAAAAAAAATATTCTCCCAGAGAATGACTATTGTGTTTTTCAGCTGTATTATATTTGACTATCATCATACAAGTACATCTTCGAATTAATCATGAGTGTGGATAATTTGCTGACCAAAAAATATTCCTGCCGACAAGAACCTTGAGGTATATTTAAACATGTTAAACTATAAAACTGAGTCATGCATGATGGAGTGAACGTGCCACCATAGAGAAAACTCAAATCAACCCTCATTTAGGGGTAGTTTATACTTGTGATTTTTCGGAAAACTTTGCTGACCGAGGCTTTCCAATTCATATATTTCATTGAAAAGATGGAATATGAATGTTCGGAACATGTTTTCAGTGCCACCATATCGAAAATTCATAACAACCCCCTCATAAGGGTAGTTTATACTTGTGATTTTTCGGAAAACTTTGCTGACCGAGGCTTTCCAATTGATATATTTCATTGAAAAGATGGAATATGAATGTTCGGAACATGTTTTCAGTGCCAACATATCGAAAATTCATAACAACCCCCTCATAAGGGTAGTTTATACTTGTGATTTTTCGGAAAACTTTGCTGACCGAGGCTATCCAATTGATATATTTCATTGAAAAGCTGGAATATGAATGATGGTAACATTTTTTCAGTGCCACCATATCGAAAATTTATAACAACCCCCTGATAAGGGTAGTTTATACTTGTGATTTTTCGGAAAACTTTGCTGACCGAGGCTTTCCAATTGATATATTTCATTGAAAAGATGGAATATGAATGTTCGGAACATGTTTCCAGTGCCACCATATCGAAAATTCATAACAACCCCCTCATAAGGGTAGTTTATACTTGTGATTTTTCGGAAAACTTTGCTGACCGAGGCTTTCCAATTGATATATTTCATTGAAAAGATGGAATATGAATGTTCGGAACATGTTTTCAGTGCCACCATATCGAAAATTCATAACAACCCCCTCATAAGGGTAGTTTATACTTGTGATTTTTCGGAAAACTTTGCTGACCGAGGCTATCCAATTGATATATTTCATTGAAAAGCTGGAATATGAATGATCGTAACATTTTTTCAGTGCCACCATATCGAAAATTTATAACAACCCCCTGATAAGGGTAGTTTATCCTCTTAATTTTTCGAAATACTTTGCTGACCGAAGCTTTCCAATTGTTATATTGCATTGAAATGCTGGAATATGAATGTACGGAACATGTTTTCAGTGCCACCATATGAAAAATTCATAAGAACCCCCTAATAAGGGTAGTTTATACTTGTGATTTTTCGAAAAACTTTGCTGACCGAGGCTATCCAATTGATATATTTCATTGAAAAGCTGGAATATTAATGACTGGATTATTTTTTCAATGCCACCATATCGAAAATTTATAACAACCCCCTAATAAGGGTAGTTTATACTTGTGATTTTTCGAAAAACTTTGCTGACCGAGGCTATCCAATTGATATATTTCATTGAAAAGCTGGAATATGAATGTTCGGAACATGTTTTCAGTGCCACCATATCGAAAATTTATAACAACCCCCTGATAAGGGTAGTTTATACTTGTAATTTTTCGAAATACTTTGCTGACCGAAGCTTTCCAATTGTTATATTTCATTGAAAAGCTGGAATATGAATGATTGGATTATTTTTCCAGTGCCACCATATCGAAAATTTATAACAACCCCCTAATAAGGGTAGTTTATACTTGTGATTTTTCGGAAAACTTTGCTGACCGAGGCTATCCAATTGATATATTTCATTGAAAAGCTGGAATATGAATGATCGTAACATTTTTTCAGTGCCACCATATCGAAAATTCATAACAACCCCCTAATAAGGGTAGTTTATACTTGTGATTTTTCGAAAAACTTTGCTGACCGAGGCTATCCAATTGATATATTTCATTGAAAAGCTGGAATATGAATGATCGTAACATTTTTTCAGTGCCACCATATCGAAAATTTATAACAACCCCCTGATAAGGGTAGTTTATACTTGTGATTTTTCGGAAAACTTTGCTGACCGAGGCTTTCCAATTGATATATTTCATTGAAAAGATGGAATATGAATGTTCGGAACATGTTTTCAGTGCCACCATATCGAAAATTCATAACAACCCCCTCATAAGGGTAGTTTATACTTGTGATTTTTCGGAAAACTTTGCTGACCGAGGCTTTCCAATTGATATATTTCATTGAAAAGATGGAATATGAATGTTCGGAACATGTTTTCAGTGCCACCATATCGAAAATTCATAACAACCCCCTCATAAGGGTAGTTTATACTTGTAATTTTTCGAAATACTTTGCTGACCGAAGCTTTCCAATTGTTATATTTCATTGAAAAGCTGCAATATGAATGACTGAATTATTTTTTCAGTGCCACCATATCGAAAATTTATAACAACCCCCTAATAAGGGTAGTTTATACCTGTGATTTTTCGGAAAACTTTGCTGACCGAGGCTTTCCAATTGATATATTTCATTGAAAAGATGGAATATGAATGTTCGGAACATGTTTTCAGTGCCACCATATCGAAAATTCATAACAACCCCCTCATAAGGGTAGTTTATACTTGTAATTTTTCGAAATACTTTGCTGACCGAAGCTTTCCAATTGTTATATTTCATTGAAAAGCTGGAATATGAATGATTGGATTATTTTTCCAGTGCCACCATATCGAAAATTTATAACAACCCCCTAATAAGGGTAGTTTATACTTGTGATTTTTCGGAAAACTTTGCTGACCGAGGCTATCCAATTGATATATTTCATTAAAAAGCTGGAATATGAATGATCGTAACATTTTTTCAGTGCCACCATATCGAAAATTTATAACAACCCCCTAATAAGGGTAGTTTATACTTGTGATTTTTCGAAAAACTTTGCTGACCGAGGCTATCCAATTGATATATTTCATTGAAAAGCTGGAATATTAATGACTGGATTATTTTTTCAATGCCACCATATCGAAAATTTATAACAACCCCCTGATAAAGGTAGTTTATACTTGTGATTTTTCGGAAAACTTTGCTGACCGAGGCTTTCCAATTGATATATTTCATTGAAAAGATGGAATATGAATGTTCGGAACATGTTTTCAGTGCCACCATATCGAAAATTCATAACAACCCCCTCATAAGGGTAGTTTATACTTGTGATTTTTCGGAAAACTTTGCTGACCGAGGCTATCCAATTGATATATTTCATTGAAAAGCTGGAATATGAATGATCGTAACATTTTTTCAGTGCCACCATATCGAAAATTTATAACAACCCCCTGATAAGGGTAGTTTATACTTGTGATTTTTCGGAAAACTTTGCTGACCGAGGCTTTCCAATTGATATATTTCATTGAAAAGATGGAATATGAATGTTCGGAACATGTTTCCAGTGCCACCATATCGAAAATTCATAACAACCCCCTCATAAGGGTAGTTTATACTTGTGATTTTTCGGAAAACTTTGCTGACCGAGGCTTTCCAATTGATATATTTCATTGAAAAGATGGAATATGAATGTTCGGAACATGTTTTCAGTGCCACCATATCGAAAATTCATAACAACC